AAAGGTTGCACAGCATCATCTGTACTTGTGTAGTACATGAAACGATGCAGCGAGTGCTGGGCTTGCCAGAGCTCCCCTGGATGGTCCTTTGTAGACAGAGTTCAGCAAGAGCTCCAGCTCTCTACTGGAGCTGCAAGGGTCACTCATTCTGCCATCAGGATTTAGGTGACAGGCAAGCCTAAGAAAAACCCTGTTCTTATTCTTTTATGCCCCAGTACCTAGAAATTTTTATTTCTATGACAAACTCCCACAGCAAAAGTCTATACTGTTAGCAAGCCAAATTTGCAAATTTTAGTTTTGTAAAACCTCAGATTTTAAGAAGTTACACTGCTACTGTACTCAGACTTCTGCCTGCATACAGACATTGTGACCATCTGTCCTGATAGATCTGAATGTCCCCATGCTTCCTACAGACACTGAAGGAGACCTACTCGCTTTCTCAAATTAAGCTATATATTTCTGCTGAGAAAGTTGCCAAAAAGGTTGCTCCCTTCCAGGAGTTGTTCGTTTTTGCTTTGGCATTTTCACTAGCTCAAATCATTAGTTAATTAGATGCATTGTCTACATAGATAAAGTAACGGATTTGACCTTGAAAAACAAAATAGTACAATTACAGCCTGGAGATTAGAGTCCTCTGCAGTGACATCATTTGTTTTGGCTTAGTACTTACTTGATTTTATTGTTATCTCAACTGAGAGCTCTGGGCAAACTTTGCTTGGGTTTTGAGCAGGAGCTGTAAAGAGCTACCTATATATACAATGTGCAAGGATTCCAATTTTCTAAGGTAGGTTCACATATCCAGACTCAGTTGTACAATATTAAAAGCTTAAAATGACATAAACACACAAGATAAATTCAAGCTGAGATAATTACTTTTTAAAAAAGCTTCTCCCTCTAAATTTCAGTGGACCAGTGTTTGACTGGATACTGCCATCACCCAAACAGAGGTGATGATATGGATTCCTCGCTCTTTGCAGGAGTTGGGTAGAGCAGAGATGGGAAATGCTGCCAACATGCAAGTGAAGAGCTCCTATGAAAGTCTTTTCCCTGCCTTGTGCCTTCATACGAAAGTCAGTTATGAATGTTTTTCTCTTCAAACTTCTCAGACTTCACATAGGTTAAAACTTACACTGACTGCACTATTTCTATTTTACTTTTAATTATTTTACTTGGGACTTCGACATTAATCCTTTCCAATTTTAAAAACCTGACTTCTACTTCCAGAGCCTCAAATGAAGTCCAGTCTTCTTTGCAATGCCTGTGGAGAATTCTGTGAGCTTACAAAGTATTTAAGTGTTGACAACAGCAGTATTTTAGATTTTGAAGGGTCAACATCCTCTGAACTAGCTTAATCTCATGGGCCTGTGAAGCAGCACTAGAAATGCTGCCTAAACATGTTCTCCATTCACCTTGCTTTAGTCTTGGGCCTAATCCAAATACAAAATATATGGAGGGAAAGAGAAACAGTTAATTAAAAGTCAGATTCTGAGCATCTCTCTTTGAGGGCATTACAACCATAACTAGGGAATATGTTGAATGGCATTGAAAGTTTATACCTTGTTTGCTGCCAGCATATAAACTTAGTTGACCCCTCAGAGCCTTATGAGCTTTTCCATCACTACATCAACCAAATCATCCAGGGGCTTTTTAGGTATGGATTAAACAGCAGGCTGCCGCTTGTGCAAAGAGAGTTACAGGAGAAACATCAATGTTCTCTGACCATCTGGAGGAACTGGCTCAGGCAGCACGTCTCCTGATGGTCCCAACCAGCTTGTCACACAGCCACCAACACCCTATTTACTTCTTTTACCACTTGGAGCCCCTATCCTTGCAGGCCTTTAGCAGACCTGTACTGAACGAGACATTATTATCCTGGGAATATATTATACTGAACCTGGAATTAAGGCATTATAAACATGGGGAAAAGGGGGCCTAGGATCACGTCTGAGAAGAACAGAAACAGTCAAGTTTGGACGGCAGAAGGATTCCCTGAATTTACCAGCCTATAATTTTGTTACATATATTTGACAATGTATGAGTCAAATAATCTAATTTCATTTGCCATATTCATGCTTATGACTGAAATATCTGCTGGTGTTTCCTCTCACCTTTCATTTATTTGAACTGACTGCTGATTTCTGTGTGATACTATTCTTTTCTCGATGGAGGGAATTAGCTCATCATCCATCAGTGTAAACACTACATTTACCAGATATTGTAGTTTAGTTCTGGAATTCTATATATTTAACAGATTTTGTATAAATCTATCTGAAATAGAGGTGAAGATTTGTCACTGGATCTACCTGTTGATTTTGAAAGATCTGAAGAGATATCAAATGTAATGTATTTGTTCATGAAAGCCCTCGCAGTCCCCCTTAAGGGCAATAAAGGCTTTTTGGAGATTGATTCTGCTGCTCATGTAGTTATTTACTGCCATTCCATACATCCTGGTGGGACTGGCAATACACTGGGTGGGTTTGGGGACACTAAGAGCTTTTCCAAAGCAGCGACTGAAGACCAGACAGGACGTGTCAAAGGGCACTAGATGGCTTCATTTAGCAGATAATTGGGCTGTCAGGGTCTGTAGTAATTTGATGGACTGAAATTTTATACCTTCTGTCTCTCACTATTAGGCACAAGCCACAATAGAGTTTTAAGGAGGTAGAGATGATCTAACCCACCAGCAGCTCTTAATTTGAATGGAAAAAGAGCTTTAAAGGATGGTGCTTAACAGGCTGCAGCCTTTTGGTGGCTGACAAAGATCTCTGAGAGCATCTTTTCAGATGCCAGCATCTTTTCAAAGTATCACATGGTGCAGACACTGTGTCTTGTAAAAGCAAAAAGAAAACCTTGCAGATATCTGTGCTTCTTCTTTCCCTCTCTTAACTTTAATCACTTAAAAAACACAAATTGCAAGTCTAGCATCAAGCACTTAGTCATAGAAGGTCCTGTCCCTTTACTGTTGCCTCCCCCAAAGCACTGGTTAAAAGCAAAGTCCATAACATCAATATTTAACAAGAAGGCTTGTTCATTCTCACAAGGAAAGGGATTGCTCTACACATGGGTTAAATCACAGTGCCTAGACAGCTGATAATGAAAGTGTCTTTCAAGATGAAGCACTTGATTGCTACTTTAAAGCTTGCTAGTGTAAGGAATGTGTAATCTCTTTTTTTTTATTGCATTTAAAATGAAATAGCTTGTTTAAATATTAGTCATCTGGATTTATACAGCTCATTTTTAGAACTGGGTTAGGCACCTGGCAATCCAGCCTGAGTAAGCATCATGCTACCCCTGTCGTGGGCCCTAGACACACCATTTGATTTCCCTTTCCTCCTTTGCAATGTGTGGCAGACTTTTTCCGGGGTAATTTCCTTCCCACTTCACCGCAGACACGTCAGTGCCACAGTCGCTGTTCTCCTCCCTGTGCAGTTCAGCAGCAGGGCTTGTCCTGGTGCTAACCCTGCTCGGCCCCTTCTCCTGCGAGCAAGAGCAGTTCCCTCACGGACCAGAGAGCAGCCCAGGTGCAAGGAAAGGGTTGCAATGTATTTTGTTTTCTGAATATTAGAGGAAGACCAAGGGAATTTTCAATATTATTGCCCATAATATTTTCCTCAGTGTTGAAAGAAACATTTCTGCTACAGCGTGGCACAAATACCAAACACACCCCTGGCAGAAGACACGCTGCAAAATTCTGCCTGTCCTCTGCTGGTCTCAAAATCCTGCAGAAAGCATCCTCATGTCTGCTGCACATCTGGGGATGGAGCTGACAAACAGCCAAATGATGCTACCTAATGATTTCATTTCTCCTGGGGGAACTGCAGAGAAGGATAATAGATATACTTTGCAACAGTGTCCCAGGGGAGTTTATCTAAGCAAGGAGAAGAATTAATAGGCTGCCTTTTAGGGAAAGGCAAATGTGCAGAAATATGAAAGTGGTAAGGAGATTTCCTATGAAACAGGGTACTAGGGAACTAAAAGTATCTGAGCAGAGTCCAGCCGTGCTCCAGGCAGTTCATGTGCTACAGCAGGGCCAATTGTGCTGTCAATGGGCTCTGCCCATGCATCCACTGCCACAGCCATGCGAGGCAACAGCCTTTGGCTTGGAGTAGGACAGACGCCAGCACCAGACTGGAGCAGCTTTGACTTTCTGTAGCTGTATCTTGAAGTCCTCAAAGGGCAGAGTCCCCACAGCCTCTCCAGGCAGCCTTGACTATGATGCCCTCCCCTTTCCAGGGCAGTTCATCTCTAGAGCAAGTCAATGCACACCCACAGCAAGAAGGGAGCATGCAGAGGTAGCCAACAGAAAGGTAAGCTCAGGTTGCGCTTCAACGAGTGCTTGATGTGGGGGTGCATAGTTGAAAATCAGGGGGAACTGGGCAATCTGAACATGGCTAGGAGCATTCTTCCTTAGCTGGTACCTCCATTAGTAAGAAAACCGCTTGCTTGTCATTGACTTCTAAATTTTGTTACAGTTTTAAGCAAATTAGAACAGTGAATCTGACCAACTACTATTGTAAATCAGCATAGCTTCAGTGCCTTGAAGAGAGCCCAAACTGTAGGTTTGCCAAGGCAAAGTGTTTGACTTTTTGCTTACTTATAAATTGATTCGTCTTGGACCACATGGACATCCAGGGTGCAGACCCCACTAAGCAGGAGGTCGTGTAAATCAAGGGGAAACATAGCAGCATCTGTGTTGGTGAACAGGAGTGGAAAGAAAGAATTTCCTAGGGCTAGGACGTTACTGAGTCGTTGAAAGTCAAGGAATCATATATAATGTAATGAAAGGAGGGAAAATCTCTGGCTTTCCTCCAACAGCCAGGCATTATTCATTGATCACAAAACAGATTTCCATCTCTTCTGAGAACAGTTCTTCCATTTGCTAAGTGGAAAATGACAAACGAGCTAACTGTCCCACATTCTTTCTCCTTCCACCTGTCCAGGCACCTCCGTCACTTGGCCCTCCCTCGGCACACACCGCAGCCGTACCGGTGTCTACTTACTTGGGACCACCAGCAACCTCGGCGGCGGCGGCGGAGGCGGAGGCGGTGGTAGCAGCGGAGGTGGTCTACACTGGCAAATTTGCTGGCAGCTCTCTGTGGCTTTCTCTGCTACGGGATTGGAACATGACTTCTGGGTCTCGCCCTGAGTGACCTGCGAAGAAACAAGTCACAGTGTGAGCAGCAAAACCAGCTGATGTTCCATGAACGCGTTTCTTGGACTTGACCTCCTGAGCAGAACCTCTAACAGCTGATGCCAACTGAGCTCAGACCACAGCCTGTTCCTCAGCGAGGCCACTAAAATTGTCTCTGCCCTATGTAGTCTCTTTCTTTTCCTTCTACCTAACACAATACCTTCAAGACTTCTTGCTCTCTGTCAATTTTGGTTGAAATTGGCCAGCTGGTTTCAGAGTTATTATGTGGAAGAGAGAAGGCGGGTACTGGCAGACAATATGATTACGTAAACCTTCTTTCCTTAGGAAACCCATCTAGCAGCATGCATTATTCACAGGCTTGCTGCTGCAAGCCGAAGAGAGCTAATAACGATTACAAGACATTTGGGGTCAGGATTATGTTAATTTTCATTATAGCAGAATGCAAAGCCAGATGAGATCTCTCCTCTGTTTTGCCAGCCTGTCTTTGGTGTTCAGAGACCATGTTGGTGAGTGTTTCATTACACACTAGGGCAAGACCCACATTTTGCTCATCTGAGGATCATATAAAAAATTGCCAAAATGGAAATGCCAAACCTGTAACTTGTAGCCTCTCTGGAGTACTGTGTAGGCTAGCAATAAAGCTGAAGATGAGACATTGAAAAAGCTGAGAGTAGGTGTCACTGGGCAACAGGCAATCCATTAGCTGGTGATGACAAGTAGCATCTCTTAACAGCAAATTTTCCTTACTACCGATAATATTTATGATTAGGAATTTAAGGAATATTCAGTAACTGTAAAATTTCCAATCTTACATTATGATATAGAATTGTTAGCTTCAAAGGTTTCTAATCCAGCTCTTTCTGAATGAACTGAAAATCATGCAGAAAGTACAGGATACTATTTTAAGGATACAAAGCCTAAAAGATTAGGAAATGCATTATCTAACATGCATTTGAATTTAGAATTAGAGCACTGTGCAGGACAGACTCATGCCTGACTACATCTAAGGGCATTTAAGCAAGCATTCAGCTGTTATCTTCTACAGGGATAGGCTGATTTTTTTTTTTGGTTTTAGGAGTGTTAATGCCCTAATAGTTTCAGTCTAACACGTCTCTTTCTTCAATTAGCTCTTAATCCTAATAAGACAAGATGGTTGTTGCTAGAAGAATGTGCTTACAGCAGCCTTTCTGACCTTTTTAGATAGACCTCTTCCACCTCCTTCCATATGTCTAAGATTGCCCCTGGTCACCTTCTCCCCTTCCTCTCTTCTGCCCAGCCTCTTTCCACAGCATCTTTGGCCCTCTTCCCATACCAGCCCAAGGTAGACAAGGTCCATCTCCTTTTACCTTTTCCACCCCAACTTCCCAGCCTGCGTTACGGCCCTCAAGCTTCTTCATTCTGCACAATCCACAGCTTGGGATCAAGGTAGTGTGATGCCGCTTGGCTGGGGAAAGTTGCATGCATTCAACTCGTGTTTCTGGCCAGAGATACAGCTAATTAAAACAACATCACTGCATGGAAGACGTGTTTATGTGCATAGGTAGTCTCTAAATATAGAAAGATGCATTGCTCTGGCCCTGGGGAGATGGAGGTAGAGCTTTTTTGATTAATTATTACAGGGAGGGAAGAGAGGAGTGGAAAAGGCTCCGCGTAGCTGAGTTGGAAGGTCCCACACAGCACAAGTCAGAAGATTCTTTTCTTTAAAAAGCTTGTGAAAATCTATTACCAAATACAGAGAAACACAAATTCAGCAGAAGTGATTTCCAACTTTCTGCTTCACCATCAGTAACAGTAAAAGGATGGTTAAAGACCATCCAAAACAGCTTCCCTGAACCTGTACAGACTCTCTGAATGCTTTAATGAATCAAAGTGACTTGACTTCATAATCCTTCATGGTTGTTAATATGTAGCTGTCTACTTCACTTGGGGTATCTGCTGAGTCAGACCAGTGTGATAACATTCACGGTCCTTGTGGAAGAAGTAGGGCACTGTCTCTTCACTGGCCCTCTGGAAGCCATTACTAATGTCTAATTATGGTACTCCAGTTTTTGAATCCTGTGGATCACTACAATTGCTTGGGAGCCAGGGAAGTGGGAGAAAACAGAGACAGGGAAGAATAACATTGAACAGACTTGGAGCCAACTTCATCTGCAGTCCAGAAGCAGCTTTGTGTATATATGTCTGAACACAGTGCTGGTACGGAAAAGCTACATTGACTTATTGCTATAACTTAATATCAAGCAGGACCAAAAGGCTTGCTCTGTCTTTTTTTAGAACTATTGACTGCTTTTAAATCCCTGGAGGCTCTCCTACCTTAGGCTGGTAATAGAACATCCTCAGAAACTCGTGGATATTCCTCTCAATTACTTTACAGGCAAGATTAACCCTATACATACATAACTACTCTCTGCTTGTGCATTCTTAAATATTATTTCTAAAGGAAGTTGCTTTGCTTTGCCTCTCAGTATCAGTTTGACCTTTCATTCCTTATGTTAATTTTGAAGTAGTCATGAGAGAGATGACATTCAGTAGAGCAGGCTTTGTTACCTGTTTGTTTCCCTACTGTTGACTCTCAGTAAAATAACCATTTTATCCTAGAAGATAGTGTAAGTGATGCAGGTATTACCTGGCCAAGAGATTGTGTTAGACAGCTAGTTTAAAAGAACAGAAATATTGAAAATTAGCTGAAATCTGGCAGAAAAGGGGAAGACATGAATCGAGGTTGAGGACCTTGAGGAGGCAAGAAATAGTCAGGGACTGATGCAAGAAGGTTAACTAACAAGACAGTAGCGAGTAGGAAGATAAAACGAAGAAGAAGAGAACATTTGGCTCATTTCCAAGAAAAAAAAAAATCCCACTGTTGATGCCTATTAGTCTTCTGAAAGGAAGAAAGGCTATTATTTGTGCCTTCTAAAGGTAAGCAGAACAAATCACTGGAAAACATGCTTTAGGGAACAATTTTGCTCAGGCAAAGGATAATGAAATAAATTACTCTATGCTTCTTTTCTACTGTGTGCAGTTGAAGGTAAGCTGCCTGTACAGGCGATGGCAGGAGAGAAAAAGGCATGTTGACAGAACCCAACCTTGCACTGGACAACCCTGCTAATTAGAGTTCAATCTCAAACTTCACTGCTTGCTTGTTTTGCCAGACGTTGACGTGGCCCCAGAATGGTTTCAGCAGTAGTTTGCAGATAAGGATTAATCAAACACCCGATGGCTGCCCGCCGGTTCAAAGGCCCAAGATTGCCTCAGCAAGGTGTCCTCTCTGGAGATCTATGGAACAGGCCACGTTCTCTGGTTGTTAATTCTGCGCCACTCGGTCATTCTTCCAGCGCAATGAACATCTGCCTTCTTGGCTTATATTTTTGTCCTGTATTTTTGGTTGGCATGAGTCTCTCTTAACACATTTAACAGTTCGCCAGACGTGTTGCCTGGACTTAGAGGTGACATATTTCCTCCTAGCCTGAACTATGTAGAGAGCTGACATTATGGATTTGTGTATTTAATGTTAACATGTCTTGTAAAAAGGCCATTTTTCTTTTAAATATTCATGCAGATACAAAACCGATCTGCAGATCTCCAGGGAAAAGCAAACAAAAGTGAGACTGGTGATTTTCTTTTGTATTCCTTCAACTGAAGTTTATGTCTATGGCATATTTCTCTTTAATCCAAGACTTCCTGTAGAAAAAGTGGTCCTAGTCCTGCTTGGCATAGCATGGAAGGATAAACCTGCGTGTGGTCAGAGCTGTTTAGGATTTCAGTGCAGTCCCACAGTGTTGCGGCAGTCCAGGAACAAGCTATACAGTAAAGGACAGATCCAAGAACTGGGAAGAGAGGATTAATACAGTCCCCAGAGGGTGGCCCTCTTGTGACTTTCTGAGTCAGGTAAAAGGAGGAAAGCTTGCAAAGAAAAGTGCAATTGACTGAGAAAGCAGAGAGATCTCTAAAAGCCTGCTGATGTGGCAGGAGCTTTGCTTCTTGGAAGCAGTCTACACAGAGGAGATCGCAATGCTGCTGCTGAAATCCAGAACAGCTCTGCATAATTCACAGTAGAGTTAATCCGGATCCGTACTTATGAAATCAGAAAAAAAAAATGTGACCCCACTATTTACCATGATATCTGTTGTTTGTTTTTAATTATTTCAAAAGCCCCAGATAGGATCGTCTTTTCCTTCTTGTCATTGTGCTGGCTCCTACATTAATAAAAAGATTTTCTTTTTAATGAGATAAATGCTTCTTCTCTCATCAGTGTCTAACTGATTCTCTTAAGTGTTTCAAAGCAGGGTCTGAGGAGGGAACGAAGGGATGTGGATGGGAAAGCTGTTGCACGTGTAAGTCACATCATGGCAGAATGAGTGAAGAGGAGCTAAGGAAAGAAGAGCAGAGATGGGAGACTGATATGAGATGGGACACTACTGGATTAGCTGAGGAAAGTATTTTTTGGAAGACTTTGAAGGTAAGAGGGAAGATTATGACTCAATGTGGAAAAGAGGAGTCTAGGGAGGGATTTAAAGATAAGGGAAAATCCACTGCATGGGAAGGGAGGGCTGACATCTTGGTGAGGGTGCCCAGCACTGGCAATCACTGCCAGAAACCTGGGCATAAGTAGATGGACATCATTTCTACAGGACCTGCTCCTGCAGGGAACCGTGTGGACAGAAAGAAATGGGCTGCTTTCTACACTACTAGAGAAAAGACAGCAAGACTTCAGTATGGGCTCTCTAAAATATTCCTGGACTACAGAGATTCATTAGCTTCACCATGGTCACAGCTTCTGCAGTCACTCCACTAGTCCAGACCTATCCTTTCTATCTGTACATGCTGGGATCCTTGTATACATTCTGGGTTTGGAAGAGGCTGGCAGAAATCTTGAATATGAGGAGATTTATTGTTTGTTCTTACACAGAACAGTAGACAACAACACAATTATAGATGAAGAATGAGGTAAAAAACTCTTAAATTATTTCAAGGCTGGGCACCCTGGCTTTCATGTTTTCTAAAGCCTGTTTCAGTTCTTATAAGTGAACTTATTTTTGAAAGATCACTTTAGATCATCTGAGTGGTTTCCTGGAAATACGTTTATGCAAATTTTGTGTATGTGGGTTGTTGTTGTTGTTGTTTGGGTGGGGGGAGCTGCTTGATTGAAAGAGTAATTACAGGGAAGAGATTCAAAAAGTGTCTCTTTATACACTTGCATTTCCTTTAAAAATATATAGTTACAATTTTAACTCATGCCCAGCTCCCTTGGCTCCTTTGAGCAGGACAGGAGGAGGGTAGTGCTGGCAGGGATTTTTATGACAGAGGCATTGTCCTGAAGGAAGTTGTTTTTGCTGTATTTCTGATTATTTTAATCTACAAGAAGGATGAATCCTCATGAATCCTCTCTGTCATTCATGGCAAGAGACAAGATGCTAAAAAAAACATCTCTGTTTAATCTCTTGGGAGTCACTAACTTTGGAACAAGGAGTAAAAGACGTGGAGTCTCCACTATGTTTTCACCAAGCAAGAAACTGTAATTGTTCAGTTTTAAACAGCACTTGGCTGGCTCCATCTATCACTCCTCCGAAGACATATATTATAAATAAACTTGAAAATATCAAAGTGACGCATGTGAGTTCAGCTTTGCTGCTATTCTGGCTCTCTGAACTGGATGGGCACTTTCAGCACTGTGATTTCCCTCAGTCCATCTGCATAAGGGGTGTTGGTCACCCCACATTACAATCAAGGTCACACCACATAACAGCACTGACAAAAAGCTGATTCAGCCTTTTCGCCAGAAAACCCTCAGCTCGCAACCAGCACCCAAAACCCGTGGGCAAACATTACCAAAACCAGACTTTGGGAGCCTGGTGCAGCGCATCCCTTGCTCTGCACGTCTTGCCCCTTAAGGCAGCCCCACTTGCCACCCTGCGGCCGCGCAAGTGCCGCGCGCTGCGCCCGCGGAGCGGGGAGCCGGGCACGAGCTCTGCGCGCCCCGGGCTCGCGCCCAGGTGTTGATCCGCGCCCGCCCGGCCCGGGGCCGCCGCCGCGGGGCAGCCCCAGGGCCCTGGGCGCGGGGAGCCGCCTGCGGGCCCACGCGCTGGGGGGGGGCGTCGCGTGTCCGTGCACCGAGAGGCATCCCCGGCACCCCCCCCCCCCCGAGCAGCGCAGCCCCCCGCGCGGGCTGCGGGGTGTCCCTACCTGGATGGAGCCCCAGAGCGGGTGCAGGGCACAGTGCAGCAGCAGGGAGGGCCAGCAGCGGCGGAGCAGCGCCAGCAGCTCCCGCAGCAGCATCCCTCCTGGGCGGGCGGGCTCCGGGCGAGCCGGGGACGGGGCGCGGAGAGCCGGCAGCCGCGGCGGTGGCTCGCACCCATCCCCGGAGCGCCACTCTCCCAACTTTAATTCCGGAGGGGAGGGAGGGAAAAGAGGGAGGGAAAGAGGGAGGGAGGCAGGGAGATGGGCGGGTGGGGAGGGAAAAGGGTGGTCGGGAAACCCAGCGCCCAGCAAGCGCCCGCTCTGCTCCGCGGGAAGACGTGCAGCCACCCCCGGCCCTCCCCTCGCCTCGCCTCCCGCCCCGGCTCCGCTCCGCCGCGCAGGCCGGGATGCTCCGCGGCGCCCGCGGCCGCTGCGCCCGCTCCCTCCCTCCTCCTCCCTTCCCGGGCTGGGGGAAAAAGTTTGGAGGCGGCGGGCGAGCAGGGCCGGGCCGGCGGGGCCGGGGCGGCCGCGGGCGCTGCGCGGGTCGCGGCCGCCGCAGCGATTTCTCCAGCTCGCCGTGCGCTTGGCGCGCCGCTCCGCCGGGCTCGCCCCGCGCTGCCCGCTCCTCCCGGCGGCGGCTCCTCCGCGGGTTCCCCGCGCGGGGCAGCCCCGCACCGAGCGCCCGGGCACGGCGCCCCGCGGCCCTCCCGCAGCCCCACATCCCCGTCAGGCGCCTTCCCCCTCCTCCCTCTTGTGGTAGACGCGACTTGCGGGCTCCTCTGTTTCCGCAGCCCAATGTTGGGGCCTCCCTGGTGCCGGTACTCAGCAGTGCCCGCAGGGAAGGGGGTAAAGAAGCCTTCATGATAAAGGCACCACCTTCTTGCCTCTTTGCGAAGAGGAAACAGTGCAGAAAACCACAGATGAATATGCGCTGGCTTTCGGAGAAGCAGCTAATGAGCAAAACCACTGCTCTGTGAACGGGGCCTTTGCTGCAAGTGGGATTGGTTTCAAGCATGTGAAAACGCTCATGCAGATCCCTGGCTGGGTGCTGCTTTCAGCGCTGAAACAAATAGACTAGCAGCTTCAAACAAGATGTGGGGTCCAAGCTCTTTATTTCATACCCAAGGATAAATATGTGTGGGATACTGATTTTAGTCTGCATTGATATTTCTGGCACCCACTCAGCCAAGTTAAGCAAAACTGTTTCATAAAAATCTGCTCAATGAAGGAGGAATATGTGAATATGCAAGCCCTTCTTCCAAAAAGGGCTAAAATTCACCTTTTACATCATCATTACTTCCCTCCCACCCTCAATGTTGAGTTTAAATGTGTGTGAGGTCAAACAGACCTAGCAATATCTTACAGTTGTGAACAATATACTGAAATTTAACACAGTTTCACCTGAGCTGTACTTGGCCCGTTATGGCTCTGCATGTATTTGGGTGCAATACCAATATACATTTGCAATATAGAGAGAATACAGAGAGACATTATGACTTCGTGAGGAAAAGACAGTAATTGTACAGCAAAAATATTTTCTATAATGATGCTGAAAAAGATGAGGTCTTCTCTGTTAGTGTACTATGTGACGTTCAGTGCTTAATACATTGTACTTGTTCAATTACAGTTTTACTGATCTGGAGCCTCAAGAGACAGCAAAGCTTTTCAGGCTTTCTGGTGATTTCCTGAAGGTATTTCAGCACTTGGTCACAGTACAGAGCATAATAAATTGCACCATCTGTATACATAGTTCTTGGTTCCTGACAGAATGAGAGATAAGGCTTTAGGCGTTGTGCAGCAAAAAAAAAAAAAAAAAAAGAAAGAAAAAAAAGGAAGAAAGAAAGAAAAATGGAGAGAGAAATGCAACACAGGTTTCTTTCCGTTCAGTGTTTACAGTGACTTAATGTCAAAAGAACTGTAGCTTTTCCTGCCATTAGCCCAAGTTCCAGGCTCTAAGTGTTGTTCCTTTGGTTCAAAGACACGCTGGGGGTCAGAGCACACAGGGCAAAACTCCCCTTGCACTTGCACAAATGCACGTGCAATGCAGGATACTGTTGCAATATAAATAAGAATAGAGCTTGTCCAGGTAATTTGCATCTTCCCTGTTGTAGAGTGGGAAGGGGCAGTTCCCTTAGTGAAATGATGGGCCTGCGGATACATGAAATTCAGTCTCCAGCCCTGGATCCAGTCATGCTGTTCTCATGCAGGAGTATTTCCCAGTAAAATGAATGGCTGAAGAAAGTGTTGAACAGGTGTCCAGTTCTTGTCAACATGGTACCAGTGCTTGTCATTAACTTCGTTGACTTCTATTATGTAGTTGCTATGGAGAGAAAGTAGCAGTCCAGGAATATTTCTCACTTACAAAAATGACAATTATATGGTATTTATAAAACTTTAAGCTCCAAGTCAAGGACAGACTTAACATGTGTTTTGCTTAACATTATGTGGTTTGTAGCAGCAGGATGGGTGCAAGGAAATACGTGTTGCTTAAATGTGGAGATGGGCATTGGCCACAGGTTTGATTGCTGAAGCATAACTGAACTTTTCTGAGCTGTATTCCTGCTTCTAACTGTGTTTCCCTGTGTTACCTCGGGCACATTTTTAAAATTATCTGCATCAATTTTCTCATCTGTTAAAATGGCATGTCCAAATATAGCTACTGTGGTGTGTCTGGTGGCTGAGGTAGTAAATGGGTCCTGACTTTCAAGGCATATTTAGCACATCACAGAAATCAAAAGCAATGCCTTATCCTTCACTTGTGTGAGTATCACAGGCCTGAGCTATGGCTCAGTGCTCTGAAGAGGATAAGTGATTTATAAATACTAAGTGCCACTGCTTATATAAAAAAAAGGCAAAAACAAGTTATTTGAAAATATTTTTTTTTCAGAAAAAGATTGCATGAGCAATATCATTCAAGCATTTTCTGTAACATTTAACACACACATTAACACTCAATAGAATAATGGCCATTATTAATTTTCCTTTGGTTTGATTATCAAGGAGGAGATCAGTTTATTTTTTTTGTTCTTTTTTTTAACAAATCCTCATAATGAGAACCATCATGATTAACACTCCAGTACAGTGACTACTCAGGAAACATTATAAGAACTGCAGCACTGATTAGCTGTACAAGCAAACATTATCTGTAGTCCTTTAATCTAAGTAGCCATAATGGTTATAACGAGCCCTAAGAGGCTGCTTTGTTACTATAGACTGAGTTTACAGTATGTATTCAAGTGTTCAGAGGGTCTATTGCAAGCTGACTTGTCAAACCTTCATTAAAATCAATAGATTCTCACCAGCCTGACTTTAGGTAGAATTTGTTCCTCTAACTTCTGATACATTCAGATGGGCTTTTAGCTGGAGTCAGAGCAAGGGAAGTGAGGGCGACCGCTCTTAGGACGGAGCTTTGTGGTTAGGCAGGCCTTGCAAGGCATTTACATTTCTGCAAATCAATGAGCTCAAGAAGAGTCTCAGACCTGGTGAAGCACTAACCAAAACACAAAGAAAAAATATTTCAGCACTGCGAATTCAATTACTGTCTCTATTCCCATTCCTAGTGTTAATCCAAGAGTAGCATCAGCAGACTGGTAAATTCACATTGTTGCCTTACAGTGAACATTTGATCATTTTGAAAACATTCCTATTGATGTTCTTTTAAAAATATGTTTTACTGTTCCCTCTATGTAAAGCAGTGCTTTTGATATGTGAAAAGCAAATTTATTCTCCATAAATTTACATTCACTACACAGGAATTCACAGCCTGTAGGGGAGTATTTAGGTATCCACAAACTAACAAAAGTCACTACATGAGCAAAAGCAGTAGAGGAATTTGCAGTTCTCCAGACACTATCTTAGGTAATTTTAGAGGGTGAAAAGTTGGGTTTGCTCTTGATAATTCTAAGTATTTTACTCCATACAGAATAATCCTAGTTTAATGTAATGGTGTTTATACATATAAACAATAGTCTCAATTTTAGAAGGGTTGCTCATTCAGTCTTTCCATGATTCCAGTTCGGTGGAAAGAGATTCCTGCCTAAAATACATCTAGAATGAGTTGTTAATATATTTTTCAAATATAGGTTGAATTAAGAGTTAATCAAATACTGGAAGTGGATCTTAAATTTTAACGTATTCAGGGCTCTTCACATTTTCACCTAGATAAATATGGGCTACTGCCCTACAACTATAACCAAGGGCAAGGTGTCTGCTTTCCATTGGTGTAGATCAGAAATAACTTCACCAAAACCAATAGGTCTATGTCAGTTCAAAGGAGGAGCAAAGTAGGAGCAGCATATACGGCTGCATCATGTAATCTTTAGGTTGTTTTCCAGCACCTTAAATCACAGGTCTCTGCAGATTTGTATTCACGACCAGAAATGACCCCAGTTATGACTATCTATCATGTGAGCCTGTTCTCTCCTTTTCAGCTTCCTAGCTCTAAAATGCTGCATTTGGTGATAAACAGGCCTCCTGCTTACTCACTTTCAGTAGTTTGTCACGATTTGTTTTCTTCAGCAAGTGGATTTGCTCAGCAGCATCACTGAACTTTATTCACAAATGTAAAGGAATACATGTGGAAATAAATATATCTGGGAAGATTCCATGTGTTAGGAAGGTCTTGAATACCCCCAAATATGTCTCTTTCTTTTTCTAGCTGTATCGATAGATCTTGCTTCCCCTTACCTTTTTAGTCCATTATATCTATTATAATGAAGTCCTTTCATCCTGAATAAATTTCAGTTTGCAGGATGGTGCCATTTCAATTACTGCTTCGGTTTCATCTGTTTTTACATACATTTGCAGATGTTTTACAGAAGATTATATTCTTGGTATTTGAATATGTAAAAGACTTCATGAAGTCATTTCCTTCATATTTGCTTTTAGACTCCATTTTATTCTCTTGAGGTCTGATGTAAAACAGGGCTGGCTACACATTTTTAAGAGGAATTCCTCATCAGTTGCAATGTGGAATTCAGTATAATTGTCCAATGCTCTATGGTCTATAGCTGCTCTACTAGAAAATATGAGATCAGATGATAATTACTTGTAAAATTCAGCAAGCTCTAGAAAAATACCTCTGCTTATTCCATGCATCT